TCTTAGCCAGCATATTTATAAATGCTTCATCTCCCATTTTCCCTAGCTGTCTTTGTGTTGTTTCCATTTTAATATATAATTTGGTTTCCTTAGTTTTCTGCCTTTTTTAATGGCTGGAACTCACACTGTGTATCTGTTTGACCAGTTTGACATGCATAACAACTATTTCTACTTTGAAGCATCCTGGTAATGTCTGATTCTCCTGTGCTAAACCTCGATATAAACAGAAGACTGTATGTCTAGCAGTGGTATCCAGTGGCTAGATAACTAGGAGAGACACTTATTACAGAATGTTAAAAAATAATAATATATATGTTTCTTGAGTTAAAGTGGAATTTTATAGTTCATTTTTAATAATTCTGATTCCTACCAATTCCTCCATGTGTCCTTGGTTTTTAATAGCTTTTTTAAAACTGTCTTCTCTATTGTCTTAACTTTAGAACCAATCTCTGATATCTCTTTTTTACTATAATATGAATGATTTCTGTTTGGTTCATCAGATCTTCAGTATTCCAGATTTTATCACTTTAGTAAAATAAAAATGCCCTGGTATTGGTGTGTGTACCTCAGTTAAATAAAAATCCCTAAGAAGAACTTTGGATCTTAACTCCTAGAAAGAAGATAAACACACGTTGGAAGGTAAAATGGGTAGTGCAGTAAGAGAGGGAGAGGTACTGTAAGCAACTTGTTCTTGAATGTAGAAGTTACACCTGAAACTTCACAGGAAATTGCATTGCTGATGAAGATGAAATTAATAGGCTCACTTGGTGCCTAAACTCTTGGTAAGGTAACTTCAGTGTTAAGGCAGTAAGTTCTGCTTTGACCACAGAAACTTACTTTTAATGCCTGTTTTATCATTTAAGCAGCCATATCTGTTCACACCTCTTCGACTGTTGTAACCAGCCTTTAGGCTTCTGATAGGCACCAACAAAATGAAACCCCACTTAACTGGTGTGGTGCGAGTGAGAACTGATGTTCTGAAAGACCAGGTCTTTAATATAAAGGTAACGCAGTTTCTTTGCTAACAAAGTGGGCCCCGCCCCTCCCTGTAAACCTGCTAATTAAACCAGCAATATCTTCATTGCAACTTCCAATTGACAAGGCTCAGCTAATCCTGTTGCTCTTATTAATTAGCTTTGCCCTAATGACTTCTTTAGAGCAGGGCTGGCTCTTGCTGGGGAAAGTTTTAGTGCATTTGCTGTGGTGCTGGCTGGACTTGAAGGCCCTTCTTTGGGGAGCTGCACAAGGGCAGAAGAAATAGGAGCCAACAAAGTGGGTCTGATCTGATCAGCCATGTGGAAATACAGCCCAGAAATGCTGTGGGGAAGGTGTAAGTGTGACTTATGTTGCTGAGCATTTTTATTTGTCTTTTTATCCACCCCAATTACTGAGGCTGAGGTTTGGGTATAGAGTAGCAATTGGAAAGAAGGAACCTGGGAGGGTTAAATTTAAATGAAAATGCATTGAAGTTATTTCTGAGGAAGTGACCCTGGCTGTGAGTACGTCCAGTGAAAGGTTCAAGGGAGCCTTTTAAAATATATCTGAATGAAATGTATCTGGAGGAAAGAGAAATGCTGTTTTTCAAGAGCAACAGAAGCCTCAGAATGTAGTTTCTAGGTCTAGTAAAGAAAAACTGGATGAAAGCAGCAGGTTTTTAGAGGAAAAAGACTGTTGGAAAGTATTTCATTGACATTTGAAAAAGTTAGTCTTTATTTTTAAGACTTTTACCTTGGAAGGAAAAAAAAAAGTGCACTTGAGTAAACACAAAACACTGCAGCCAAGAAAACCCTCCAGTAAGCAGTTTAAAACAATACAGAGTTTTAGCTGCAAAGCCCTACAGAGGCCAGTGTTTCAGACTGGGAAAACTTTGACAAAAGGTAGCCTGACCCCTGGCAGTTGTGCGAGGCTTGTGCTGTTGTGTTGTGGGGTGCAGGTTTCCTTGAGAGGTGCTGTGCTACAGCTTGTTGACCTCACTGAAGCAGGT